AGCACAAATGGCACTGTGACAGTTATGGGCGTACGATCTCTACTAATGGCGACAATAAAAGTTACTTTACTTCTTTCAAACATCGAAAGCCGTTTTCCCGATCATCCAATCAAATGACACAAAATGGTTTTTCAGTATTTCCAGTATTTCTGGAAACAGCCTACAGTATAACCCTACTGTACAAGCGCATAAAAAAAATTAGCGGGAAAAATACGCAGAATGCAAATTTTGAGTCAAGGTTATGGAATATAGATCACTTTTAAATCTTGATATCGGGCTATTATTATCTATATAAGCTGTAATAAGACGCGTTTGAAAAAGTCACACATATATCTGATTATCAATGTACAAATTATTAGCACTAGGTGTCGCACTGCTCAAATCCTTTACGATCTTATATCGATCAACAAAGCTAGAGTTCTAAAGTGGTATTAAAGAAAGTGCACGTGCTTAAAGCTCATCTCCTATTAGTAGTTTATTACGTACATTAAAAGTAACAAGCATGTAAATTTTTGCCTTAAAGGATTCTTTATTATAAAATGTGGTTTTTCATTAACGATTCCTCCTACGTGCAAGCCAGGAAATAGAAACCAGTACCTAATGCCCTTAACATATACTGCAGTATACACACACACACACACTGTAGAAATATACAGAACTACTAACTTATCCCGCAAAATGGACTGAAAAGTATATTATACAACAGTTATCTATAATTACAGAGTTACATTTTTCAAACGTATCACACATTATATATGTGTAGATGCCTAAAAACTCGAACATAGAGAACAAAACTGTGTGTTATTTCATATCACTTTCCGAGAAAATTAGTTATAGCTTGATTATATAAGTATACATAATCTTAAAACGTTGGTAATAACAATATTTAAATAATTCCCATCATGTTTCCTTTGGTTTAATTTTATGTTTTACTGAAATTTCTTTAAGAATTCTTAAAAGGTTAAAGGTAGATTTTTTTTGACAATTTGGTTTTTAACTGATGGTCATTCGGAAGTTAAGCTCTGTTTTTAAATATAGCTTTAAAACTAGAATACGATGCTTTACGAAGACGCATAGTGTTAGCAAACAAGGAACACGGTACAAAAATAAATATGATGCTTTACGAAGACGCATAGTGTTAGCAAACAAGGAACACGGTACAAAAATAAATATGAAAAATAAGCTGCAGATAAAACGTAAATACAAACATCGCATCAAGAAATAGAATACCATTTACTGCTTGCAGTAGCTAGAAGAATAACACTTAGTATTTTCTAAACGACAATGCAAGACTCTCGTACAACATTCAGTCATTTGACAAAGGAATTCAACAGGCAACTGTCAAATTGCACACAATTTTATGCACGTCATACAATAACATTATTTATGAGAATTAAAACCAACCAAGAATGTAGCGAAATATT